TTCCTACTCTCTCTCTCTCTCTCCTTTCGTACTCTCTCTCTCTCTCTCTCTCTCTCTCTCTCTCTCATTGAGGTCGAGGGCCGCGAATACTCTGCTCAGTCAGGTATGTAACGCCTTCATCTCTTGTCAGGAGGAGGAGGAGGTAGTGGGGGTGGGGGAGGAGGAGGAGGAGGATGAGGAGGTAGTGAGGAGAATGGGGAGGATGAGAATTAGAGAGACGGGAGAGGGAGAGGAGGAGGAGGAGGAGGGGTAGGGAGACTTAAGGGTGGGGCAGTGATAAACACGGTGAGAGAGAGAGAGAGAGGGGAGGGACAGGGCGCTTTGCCAAGAAGAGAGAGGGGAGAGGAGGGGGAGGGGGGTTGAACAAGGTGTGGGAAGAGGGGAAGAAGTGAGAGGAGGAGCAGGAGGATTTGGGGGAGGGTAGTCTGGGGGGAGAAAGATGGGGTGGAGAGAGAGAGAGCGTGCGTGTGTGTGTGTACAGAATTGCATTTGTGTGTACGTTTTTGTCACATTGGATAAATTATCATTCTCTCTCTCATATATCAACTCCCTACTGCAATAAGACTTAACTACAATAATTAAACTTTAACACCCCAGACTCCCCCCCTACCCCCCATCTCCACCCCCGCTACACACACTAGTCATGTTTATTTATAAGTGCATCCTTCCCCTCCCACCCACCTTCCCCCCCCCTCCTTATTTACCTTCTTCTATACCCCTTGACCTCTCCCTAATTATGTTTAGTTATCTCTATCTCTGTTTCTTACCCTCATATGTCTTCTCGTTTATCCCTTATCTCCTCCTTTCAGCCCCCCCCCCTGGTCTAACCTTACCTTTGACCAGTCCTCAGCAGTTCTGTTCTCGTATTTCTTGGCCAATTCCAGCCTTTGTTTCATCATCCTGGGGATCAGCAGCGGCTTCTTGGCAGGAGGCCGGGAGAGGAGGCACAGCTCCTGCAAGCGATTCTGGATGGTCCGCTCAGAAACGTTCCCCAGTACACTTGGATGGGCTTTCTTAATCTCAGCTGCCGACTTTCGGGGAATTTTGAGTACTTCACGCTTTAGAAGTTCATCAGTTGCCTTTGTGGTCTTCCTAGGGCGACCTGGAATGGGTTTTCTGGGTGGAACGTCTGAGTCAGGGCAGGCAGCAGCTGCTGATTTGAGTCGCTTGACTGTTGCTATACCATGTCCTGTACTTCTTGCTATTTCTACTAAAGACACATTTTGACCAATCAAAGTTAATATTTTGGTCTTCTCCACATCACTCAAGTACTTCCCAGGCATCTTGGCTAACGTCAGGCCGAAATAAAACACCACAAACACGATAGGAAGGCAACAAACACACAATATTATTATCCAGGTGGAGCACCAAGAGGAAAACCCCTCTTTCGGCCAGAGCTCAGCGAGCACTGGCGGTTCTATGCCACTCTCTCAATGGCTCGTATACACTCGGTGTATGGTTGAGAACGAAGAAAACCCTGATACGTTTTTCTCGGTCTCAAGGAGAGGGGGACGTATCTGGGTTTTCTTTTTGCGGAGACTTGTCTCTGTCTCTTTCTCTCTTCCTTTCCTTCTGTTCCTCTCTTCTTCCAAGTCTCACAACAACTACTATAACATTCTCACATACATTTAACAAGAGCGACACAGAAATACTTGGTCGTCAGTCGGCCTTAAAGGTGTGGTGGTGGTCAGGTCGATGCTGTGTACATCCTCCCTCAATTATATTTCAACTCACGCTGAGCAGAGCTCCGAGTGGTGGCGGAGTGGTACCAAAAGTTTATGGACAAGATATCGTACTGGTCAATGGAATTATGAAGGCACGTAATGTGAGCTATACTGAAAGAGATTCGTTTATTAAACATAAGACAGAAATAAAATAGAAAGGTTGAATATAAGAATCTGAGAGCAATTTTGAAGTTAATTTAAGACGTTGTTAAGACAACTAAAGAATAGCCCCATCCCAATTTATTTCTTGTGATGTGATTAATCACCCAAACGTTACCAAATGGGTAGGTTTAGTTAGATTAAATATTCAGGTTAGAATAGCTTTAGGGTGCTAAATCATCAGGTAAAAAACGGGGGTTCCTGATCTTCATGAGAGGATCACCTGAAGAATCTCCACCCCAGCTTATTTCACCTAAAAAGTAACCACTCTAATACTGTTTGGGAGGGAGGGGTGAGGTTAATATAGGTAAGGTAAAGATCAGAGCCATATACTGTTTCTAAGTCCCAGTCACCATATTCCTTGCAGAATATAATCCTATTCACCTTCTGCCTCTTCGTCAGTAGTGGTTTGCGCCGGCCATAACAGCTCCTAAAACCGAGGTCACCACCGGTAATGACTCGGTGAAGCAGGTCATCTCCAGCTTCTCTTTCCAAGAGGTCTGAGCAAATTTCAACTCTTTGTTTATGTTCATCACTGAGATTTTTCGGCACCATTTTGGCACAAACTTTTCTCATGTTCAAATTTCAGTCAAAACCTTTCAAACTATTTCCCTGTCAATAGACCTCGTATGTATATATATGTATATATATATATATATATATATATATATATATATATATATATATATATATATATATATATATATATATATAAAATGAGTGACATTTACATACTCGTTTAGCAGTAGTTATGGGCTCTAAGCAATTTACATATCTCTTCCTGGGAAGTTTGCCCGACTTCGGAGTTGATGTCGTGAACACAAACAGTGTAGGAATAGCATTTGACTTGAGTCGTTTCAGTCCGTCAGCTCTTCCAGATTCGTACTGGTTCTCATCAAAATGGTCCTGATGAGAATAGAAACATTGGAGACTAAGCAAAAGGAAAAGTCATTTACCGAGTTATACTTAGTTATTTTTCGTAAATAATGTTCTTTATATCACATGGAGCCACAAGTGACACTGTCAATAAGAACTAATTTTGTACAAGTACATAAGGTAAAAATTACCAACTTACCGAGCATATGTATGAATGATCGTGAGCTCTCCAGTTCTCGCGTCTGACTTTAATTTCCCACTGTCGGCGTGTCTCTGGGAAATCTGTGGTGTTCTACCCATCCCAGGTTGGACAGCACATCCTACAGCTACACAGCAAACCATATTAAGGCCATACTCCTCAGTCACTGCTAATTAATATGGTAAACTGAACCGCCTGCTTTTCTTTCAATGAGGATGTGACTTCGAGGTAAGTGAGTCACTAAGGCAACACCGCGTGAGGGATGGAGGCAAGATGGGGCCTCGCGGACACCTGACCTGAACGGACCAATCACGCTCGACCTGTTTGAAACCCAGGTTGGCCAAATTGGGTAAGGTTAGGTTAGACTAGGCTAGGTAAAGTTTAACAGGCTAGGTAAGGTTAGGTCTCTTACATCATCAGTTACGGGATCTATGCATCGTATGATCCTTTAAAAATCCAGCGGGAGGTAGAGTGAACTCCCGCGACACAGCGATGTGAGGTCAGGAGAACGAGACTATTCTTAGCGGTGTAAATGTCAGTGTTACGGGGAGGGAGAGACTGAGGGAGGGCGGGAGGTAGTAGAGGGAGGCCAAGGTTGGTGAGGGGAGGGCTGGGAGGGGGGGGGAGGTCTGCTGGTGTTGTGGTGACAGAGTGAACAGTCAAGACCATCGTGATTCATTCTTTAATTATTCGTAAGTCAGAATCTTTTCCCCTTATAACCACGAGATGTTAACCTAACCTAACCTAACCTAACCATTTGGCTGACTGATGATATAGATAAGCTACGTGACTGTTCTAATAGTGCATAGGTGTCAAACGGGAGACTATTTACTTAAGGCATAGTGCTAATAACCCCAGCGAGAGAGAGAGAGAGAGAGAGAGAGAGGCGATACAAGTGTTGAGTCTTTAAAGAAAATCATTTTAGTGTATCTGTAGCATTTGTAAAGAATTTAAATTGGTAAAAAAAAATAACTGCAGGTTGTAAATTACACACACACACACATCCACACACACACACACACACACACATCCACACACAAGAGCTCAGGCATGCTAGACCACGTTGGCCAGATACACGTAAATAAGGTCGATCATCCCAGCATCTACTGTTGAGACTCTGCACCTTACAGTTCTACCCCACAGAAGGTCGCCTGATCAACCACCCCCTATCCTCCATCTCCCCCCACCCTGCATTACGTCATTATTTCCGGTTAAATATCATCAGTGTAGTTTTCTGTATTTTTATTCGTTTTTCTTTACGTATGTTTAACCTGGGAAAGATGCAAGTAGTGCAGATACAAGTTTCATGTTCTGTTAAGAATGGTCTGGTGTTTGTAATTCGGGTTTGGCTTTAAAAAAAAGGAATTCCTTCACATGTGTTTGTGGGTCCGTGATGCAACGACCTTTAAGCCTAATATGGTGGTTGACAGTCCCCCCCCCCCACACAGCGGTGATGTAAACGCGAGTGGGGTACAGTAGTAATTATTACTTCATATACACAAATGTTTTAATAATAGTAGTAGTAGTAGTAGTAGTAGTAGTAGTAGCAGCAGTACACATAATTTAATTCCACCTACAGGATCTAAACAACTTGTACGAGAAGGTCCCGGACGAAAGAGCATCATCACCAGCCACACACAATCACTAAATGCCATTGGGGTAACGTCACTAGTGGAGTACCCCAAGGCTCAGTACTTGGACCATTACTATTTATTATATACATAAACGACATAGATATCGGCGTAGACAGCAACATAAGTACATTTGTTAAAGACACTAAAATAGGACGTGTAATTAAATCTGACGAGGACTCCACAAAATTACAGGGCGATCTAAACAAATGGCAGATGATATTTAACGTGGAGAAATGTAAAGTACTCAACCTAGGAGATGTAAATAGAGAAACTAGCTATCAGATAAACAACAGTGATATATAGAGAAATCCAACTGTAGAAAGACATAGGGTTAATGATATGTAGGAACCTTAAACTAAGGCAGCAAGGTTAACGAGGTACTTCAATACAGTTTTTATTTGGCATCACCTTATTTGAAGACGTGGTTGTCCCTCCAACACTATGGGGGGCGAAGATGGTCGGTACAGCGTTCCATCTCAACCTCTTCTTCCCATCCGCTCGTCCGTGCTCGAGTTGGTCCTGGTCAAAATGTTCCTGGAAAGAGAAATAACTATTGAGTATATTTATTTATGCTAATGACTTAACCTAATTGTATTATATTATACAATTAGCTATATTTATCTGTTACTATTATTTTACAACCATATTTTTCTTACTGGAAATGTAATCTGGAGGTCACACTTCATGCGTCGAGACACAGTCCTAATAGAGACATTGCCAAGTATCATCGGGTTATTTTCCTTCACTTGTCGAGCTGAAACACGATGATTATCCTCTAACTGCTTTTTGACAATGTTCAGAGCTCTTAGAGACGTCTTGCGTGGTCGGCCTGTGGATTTCTTTTTGGTTGGTACCAAGGCGCCGCCATTTTCCCTGTACCTTTTCACCCAACGTTGGACTTGCCTCAGGCTGACATATGTCTCCTCAGCGATATCTGCATTACTTTTGCCGGCCTTATGTAATGCTGTTATGGCAACGATTTGGTCATGTGTGACCTTAATTTTAGGGCTCATGTTACTGGGTGGGGCAGGACCTCCAACACCATGTATCTCCGTACACCAGAGCTAGACAAGCACTGGAGAATGGAGATGTACCCTGAGGCTTCCCTGCCAGACCTACGACAAAACGACAAACATTGTGGCCAACACAGCCAGACCCCTCCTGTTGTTTTTAGCCAAAATGTTTGTCGCTGCCCTCTCGGCGTTAAAACTATTGACGAGTACTGTAATAAGTGAATGATGACTTGGTTTAACATAGTTTACAGTACACCCAATAAACACAACTACAATTCAGTGTAATTTTAAACAATTGATACGTTGCATATTTCATATATTTTAGTCAAAATAATTATTCAAAAATACTGGTAATGAAGTAGAAGGGAGAGTGTAGTGTGAGACTGCCCAGTATCTTCCACTATTACTGGCCACCATCTGCTTCTCTCTCCCGAGTATTATTCACCCCAAGGAAGAGGAAGCATCTGGTCAAGTGTTTAACAGTGCTGTACTGTAAGGCCCATATAGCTTACCCGACACAATAATACTGATTGTGTGGCTTTCCATCCTGGACGACCGACTTTACTCTCCCACAATTTCCTTCTCTCGGGATCTGCTGGGAATCTGTGCATCTTAAATCCCCGGTCAGATCTATTTGTGCACCCTGCGGCACAACAACCCGTCATAATGTAGAGAAAAATCACTCTACACCCGTCCAAAGCAACGGTCACACGGTAACTGATGCCGGGCCTTGCGGGCTGCAGGACTCAGTGTGTGCGGAGTGAAACAAAATGGCGGCTGCCCAGTGATCATGTTATCTGTTTTTCCAGGACCCTCCATCTCCTGTCGCGCCTCCCAGTAAATAGGGACTTTAGGTTAGGTTAAACTAGATAGGTTAGGTTAGGTTGGTTAGGCGAGTTGTTCTGTGGGTCTCATAGCCCAGCCAAAGGTCAACTCTTGTGTGGATCACTGTGACCTATACTAGACCAGATCCACCACCACTACCACCACCCCTTCACCATTACCACTACCACCACAACTACCACTCTACCCATCACAACTACCACCACCCCTTCACCATTACCACTACCACCACAACTACCACTCTACCCATCACAACTACCACCACCCTACCCTTCACCATTACCACTACCATCACCACCCACCACAACTAGCACCACCCTACCCACCACCACTGTCACTACAACCACCATCACCACCATCACCACAGTGTTTAAAAAGCTCGCTGTGTACATCTCTCTCTCTCTCTCTCTCTCTCTCTCTCTCTCTCTCAGTAACCCTGCCAGAGTTTGTCGCTTCACAGACCTCACTCATCGTTTGGTTGTTTTGATTGTATTTTGTTTTGTATTTCCGTTATGTATGTATTGTTAGTACAGTATAATTATATCCTTTTCCAATCATACACAACTAACAATTGGCTTTATCTATCACCCACACACACACACACACACATATTGTCAAGAAACTAGTCCAATTGACGCCACATTCCTCAACCTTCCGTCAGTACAGCAGCTTAACTCATAATTCAGTTAGCCAGGTCACGACCCCACAGTGTGAGGCGAGGACTAGTATGGTAAATGATAAAGTTTGTTGACTCTTTTAGTTGATTAGTTTGAGCTTGTGTTTTTATTCTTAACACACACACACACACACACACACACAGTAAACATGACGACGTGTTCTTGATGAATTCCTCCAGCTCCTGCAAGATTAAGTCACATACAGGGTTATAAAATATTTGATGTTGGTCTTATTATTGTTCTTCGTGTTAATTAATTCATCATCATTATAATTATATCTCGTAATAATTTTTTAAACATTCCACAACAACGGGAAATATAACATTGAGTTATATTTAAAGTGTAATATGTTATATGTTGAGAAGAGGCCAAACGGACCAGAACTTCGTAAGCGCCCCCCGCCCCCCAGAAAACGTGGTTCAAGTTTTGGAAAACGTAACACACTACACTACACTACAGTATATCTCTTGAACTAATTGTGATGGTGCGATCAATCTTAAGCTTACGTAACCAGGATTATGTTGTTATAATCAGTTAATAACAATCTTGTCAGGATTATTAGTAATGGTGAAAAAGATCATAACTTTAGCAATTTAGAGGCAAAAAATGATGTACGTATTGGAAATATAGATATGGTACCACAAACAAAATATTGTATTTGTAAAATAATGTCACACACACCCTGCCAGCCTTCACACTCACGATGTTGTTGATGGGCGTATGGCGCCCACGTTTGTCACTCGTGGGCGTCCCAGTGAAGGTGAGCTTCTTCACTGTGTTGGACACCCTGCCTTTACCCAGCCCGTGCATGGCGCAGAACCCCGTCTTGCACACCTGTACCTTCATGTCGTTGTACTGCACGTGGTAAAGTACTGTGCTGCTCCTCCTGCTGACTTCCTGCTTCGTCCTCTTCCGCTTGATAGGGACGACATCAACAAGACGTTGGATGTACGCGTTTTGGAGGCCATAGTCGCCTATTTCCCAGAAAGCCTTAAAAATTGTGTCCACACCTGCCATGGTGACCTTTTCGAAGCACCCATCCCGACATGGGGCTCCGAGAACACGTGCAGCAACAGGTTTCTTGGAAAACCTGCTCTCATAAGCCTCACCCTTGTTCCTCCTCTCCTTCGCCACGTGCTTTTTCCATTCAGCCTCATTCCTGGCTCTCTTCTTCCCACGAGAGGGGCCACCTTCCTCCACGTCACCCCAAACACTATCATAACTAAGATCACTCATGGTTAAGCACGTCAAAACGGACACAGCCATCGATACTCAGCGTAAAAAACACGAAGTAATAATCCAAGTTTATATCATGCCGAGCAGAGCAGAAGGTAAGACTGACACTTCCGTGTGAGGAGGCGACCGCTGCTTAATTGGCGGGAAAGGCACGTGACTCGTGCTCTCATTGGCTGAGAGAGTAAGCAGTATTGACCGGGGTGGCGCTTACCAAGTTATGGTCCACGTAGTGTCGTACGTCTGAGGGCCAACAAGGCTCTGTAAAGGCATCAGTCATCAAATCATCTTTCCACGCTTGACAACGCTTAGACAAATTTAAAAAATAACCTTTCTATTTTTTATATAAAAATCAAGTGACTAAGATAGTTAAGTTAAATATTATGTTCCTTGTAGTTGTTGTGATGGATAACATTTTGTTTTTGTTAGTGTCATTGATTACAATTATTATTTGAAGGACTCTCTCTCTCTCTCTCTCTCTCTCTCTCTCTCTCTCTCTCTCTCTCTCTCTCTCTCTCTCTCTCTCTCAGGCTCAGAAACATCCACTCAGAGGCTTAAAGAGATTCACCTCTCCAAAAGAATAAGAAAATTATTGAATAGCAGAGAGAATCAGTCCTTATATACAATGACATGTGGAATAAACCCTGCCACCCAAAGTGAAATAATAATAATAAGACATCTAAAACACACACACACACACACACACACACACACACCTGGCCTAGACTCTGAAGCTTCCAATCTGGGTGATCCTTGAACATTGCCAACACATTCCTACACTCCACAATACACACACACACACACACACACACACACGCACACACACACGCACACACACACACATCCATGGTTAAAACTGATTCGCTAGTGAGGTCACCTGTAGTCACGGTACACAAGGGCAGAAGGAAGGGAGGGGAGGTGTCAGCTACAGGCCAGTTGTCCCCACTCGTCATAACCCTAAGGAACTCTTCAAATTGGAAACAAAGTAATTCGTATAACTTTAAAAAAATTGTGTGTCTACCCCCCCCCCCCATACCGCGCCAAAAGTTTTACGAGCGTCGCCATGGTAACGGTTCGCGCCATAATAACATAAGAAAATAAGGAGTTGCAATAGGCTGGTTGGCCTGTGCATGGCAGCTCCTGTCGAGAGTTACTACCACTCTATCATTTATAAATCTATCTAGCCTCCTTTTAAAACTTTCCAGACATTAATTCATGGTAACATTATTGTTATTGTTATTATTATTATTATTATTATTATTATTTTATTAATATCATTGTTATTATTATTAGTTTGTCTCTTGTTTCAGCCTCCACCACACATGACGTTATGCTGCAGTACACAAGGTTAGTGTATCACCAACCTTATATTATTCTCTTGGGACTCGAGTATATTTGTGTGTTAATGATATTATTATTATACCTCCCCCAGAAAATGTATTGCTGTCGTATAAATGATATGAGAACAACTAGGACAGTACAGGTGTATATAAATAATATACATAGAGAGTACAGGTGTATACAAACATTGTAGTGAGGAGCTAACCTAAACCTAACCTAACCAAACCCTCAAAGAGTATCAAGGTAATAAATTAATTCATCCTCAGGTGACATAAACTAGGTGTGGTGATTCTTCAAGTGATCCATTTTATTTACACTTGACAATGTTATGATCTAGGAACGACTTCTTTTTTTTTTTTTTTACTCTCATTAAAATAATTATAACGTTTAGTCGATTTATATATTACTGAATGCTGAAGGGAATACCATTGATAATTGTAGGGTTGGTCTTTTTTTTTCTAAGTACCGTTGTGAAGGTGTATCCTCCCTGTGTGTGTGTGTGTCTGTTGTCCCGTTAGAGGCGAGGCGGATATAGTACACGGTATACTACAGGACTCTTATAAAGACCATGGAACAACTCTACAACTGGACCATGGAACAACTCTACAACAAAACCATGGAGTAAATCTACAACAAGACCATGGAACAACTCTACAACAGGACCATGGAACAACTCTACAACAAGACCATGGAACAACTCTACAACAGGACCATGGAACAACTCTACAACAAGACCATGGAACAACTACAACAAGACCATGGACACAGACCAATGGACCATGGAGCTCTGCAACAAGACCATGGAACAACTCTACAACAAGACCATGGAACAACTCTACAACAGGACCATGGAACAACTCTACAACAGGGAACAACTCTACAACAGGACCATGGAACAACTCTGGCTAACAAGACCATGGGACCATGGAACAACTCTCACAACAAGACCACCATGGAACAACTCTACAACAGGACCATGGAACAACTCTACAACAAGCATGGAACAAATCTCTGGAACAACAAGACCATGGAACAATCTCAGCAACAGACCATGGAGCAACTCCCCCAACAGGACCATGGAACAACTCTACAACCAGACATGGAACAACTCTACAACAAGACCATGGAACAACACTACAACAAGACCAAACAACTGACAATGGAACAACTCTACAACAAGACCATGGAACAACTCTACAACAAGACCAGGGAACAACTCTACAACAAAACCATGGAGCAAATCTACAACAAGACCATGGAACAACTCTACAACAAGACCATGGAACAACTCTACAACAAGACCATGGAACAACTCTACAACAAGACCATGGAACAACTCTACAACAGGACCATGGAACAACTCTACAACCAGACCATGGAACAACTCTACAAGACCATGGCACCGCGGTCAATGGAACAAGTTATGAAGCAGGGGTCACCAGCCTGGAGAAGTTGGGTGGTGCAGGGAGGAGCCAAGATAAACCCTCACCAGGATGCACACACACACACACACACACACACACACACATTCTCTCACACACACACACTCTCTCGCTCTCTCTCTCACACACACATTCTCTCTCTCACTCACACTCACTCTCGCTCACACACACACTTGTGATAGGGTGGCCGAGTACAGTGGTGGCGCTGACCTCGAGTGTCCAGGACTGCGGTCTCACCATGAGGCGGGATGTGACACAAGGTCCGGACCCCCGATGACGTAACCTGGCTCGCCGGTACACCTTGCCTTTCCGGTTGCCTGTACCAGTCAACGTTGTTTCATCTGACCATAAAATCTTTTTCCCTTTCCCATCGTCCCATTCAAGATATTTCCTGCAGAAGGCAACTCGGTTCTTGTGCTGGCGTTGGGTTATAAGAGGCTTCTTTCGCGCCACACACTTATATTTCAGGTCATCGTGGAGGATTTTACGTACAGTACGTTCGGCCACATGCCCCAGCAACTGAGGATTTTTCTCTTTGAGCTGACGTGCAGAAATCCTTGGCTCTTTATCCACTTGCCTCTGTATAACCTTAAGAGTGCGTGGGGTGGTGACGCGGGGGCGGCCGGGACGCTTTTTATGGGCAGGATCTTCCACACCTCCACCATCCTCGAATTTCTTAGTCCACCTCTGCACACTTCGTAATGGTACTCCCGTAATAGCAGATATTTCTTTATTAGACTTCTTCCCCTTGTGCAGAGTCACTATATCAGCAACCACGTCGGTCTTCAATTGTTTATTACCGGGCATAGTGCAAGGACAGCGCTCCCATATACACACAGGAGAGGCAAAAAAGGAGAATCGTGGCCCACAGTCTACAGAACATACGTTCACTACGACAGCTAAACAGCTACTGGCGCCTGCCTGTTGCCCAGTACCGGAGTACATTAGAAGCACCAAGACTTTATGCCCAAAATAAATAATATTAAGAGGTGTGAATCGATTTCGGCAAATATATTTGGCGCGGACCCTATCGCGCCAACTACAGGGTATAAACACCACAACTGTATATTAATATTTTTTATGCTTCCGGACATTTAATCCTTACATGCAAAAGTAATCCACGACCATATTAAATTATACATCTTATGCCACAGTGTATTAGAACAAACAAATTTATGAATAGCTGTACAATCGAACTTTTATTCACAACTCTGCCCTCAAACAGCCTCCCTTGGCGCCGCTTTGTGGGTGACTGAGGTGGTTAAGGTCCTCATCATCAACAAGCGAGCGATCATTGTGGTGAGTGGCAAGGACCCCTGTAGCCAACTAGCCCTGGTCACCCCTGTAGCCAACTAGCCCTGGTCACCCCTGCTTGTGTTTATGCGAGGCTTTGTTATATCTGTTAAGTTCTTGGTTCATAACAAGCCCTCCTAGGACTAATTTAATGTATTTTACTTTTAAAAACTGAGTAAATATTAAGCTTGGACTCGTTTAAAACACCAATTAGTTATGTACAAGACGGACAAGGGTTTTATGGGGGGGGGGGGCTGTTCGACCAGTCATTACGTAGCCCGACACGGAGGTAAACACAGCAACGCCCTACAAATGCGATCAAACAAGGGCGGTCCACATGGAAAGAGGTGTGTGTGTGTGTGTGTGTGTGTGTGTGTGTGTCATCATGCTCAGTCTTATAATACTAGCATTCTTTACTGACCAACAAGTCCCCCCCCCCACCCATCCTATACTGGTTACTCCCCTTGTCCCTACCCCTCACACCCATACTACCGCTTTGACTATCCACTATTCCTTTCTCGTCGTCGCTTTCCCCCCTCCTGTCTGTCTGCCATCCCTTGCTTGGCGCCGATCCTCTCATTTGGCCCCCTATCCTCTACCTCTCCCTGCCCCAGCCCTCCTGTAGATGGTTTAAGTCCGGTAATGAGTCCGTATCCCTCCAGCTGTTTCGTCTGTAGCGAGGGAATGGTTCAAGTTTATCCAGTGAGAGAGAGAGAGGCAGAAAGACAGAGAGAGAAAAGAGAGAGTTGCATACTGACACAGGTAAAAACCAGGTGAGTTAGCGACCTCTACCTGTAACTCTCACGGGGAAAACTAGGAAATGTTAGGCGGTTTTGTGTTATTGTTGAATCAAGGGTGAGAGAGGAAGAGGGGGGGGTGGAGGTGGATAGGAGAAAGAGGGGGGAAAGAGGGGGGAAGGAGAGAGGGAGGGGAGACGGGAGTACGTGTGTATAGATGACTATATTTTGATACGAGTATAAATAAGGCATCATTAGGCATCATTCAATAAAGGTAATTAATTAGTTTCTACATAATAACTTCCTAATTGACGTGAGAGTTTGTATCGTAATAATCATCTCTCAGTGTTATGTAGTTTATGTTGTGTGATTAGTAAGTTCTGTAAAAGTGTGAATAAAGTCATTTTATTGAACATTAAACAACTGGGGTAAAAATGTTTGATCCGAAATGCAATGATCAAACAAGATGGATGAATTGAATACGTGACTTATACCTCGTGGTCATCTGAGAGGTTGAGCGGAACAAACTTTGCACCGACTCGTCTCATGTTCAAATCTCCCTTCAGTATGGCCTGAACAGAACCAAACGACAGCCTCGTCTCTTTCGCGATTTTACGAATGGTTGGATGTCGGTCTGCTCGGACGACAGAGCTGATTTTACTGATGTTTTCATTGGTTCGTGCTGTTGATGGACGACCGCTTCTTGTGTTATCTTTCAGGGACTCGTTTCCTTCCCTAAACTTTTGAAACCATTTGAAAACAGTCTTCCTCGTCACAGCTTCATCTGCGTAAACCGTTACTAGCATTTCGTGTGTTTCTGTAGCCGTCTTGCCAAGTTTAAAGCAAGATTTCATTTTTGCACGTTGTTCTAATTGCGACATTTCTAGACAGACGTCAAAAACCCCAAGCACGTCCTTACACAAAGCAAAGCCAAGGTCCACTGGTGCTTCTACCATACCCGGTGACTGTTGGCAACTGAGAGGGCTACGTCACTAGCCCCGTCCACTGATCTCACCGGACTTTTTGATCACACTTTATGTTTGTTGTATGATGTATAAAGTCTGGAGATTAATACACGACATTAATGGTGACGTATAGGTGGTGTGGGTGTATACTTTGTCTACGTAATAAAAAAATATAATAATAATAATAATAATAATAATAATAATAATAATAATAATAATAATAATATAATAATAATAATAATAATAATAATAATAATAATAATAATAATAATAATAATTAACGGTTTATTAAAAGAGCATGGCAGCAGGAAGGCTAAAAATATAATTACATAATTGGGAATGAGTCACTTGATTGACAAATAATATATGTGCATGTATGTGTGTGTGTATGTGTGTTTACGTGTGTGCATATGTGTGTGTATATAAGACAGATAGTGTGTGTGTGTGTGTGTGTGTGTGTGTGTGTGTGCTGACTTAACTTACACCCACCACATCTTCGGGGTTGGTTGGGGCCAGACAGCACAATAACAAGACAGGTGTTGGGGCGGTGACGTATTATGAAGGATATGA